GCGCCCATGCCATGGAGAAGCTGGCGGCCGGGCTGGCGGGCCTGCGCTGGAGCATGGGCGCCTTCCCGCTGGACCTCATCGTCAGCCGCTGCCGCCTGCCCACGCTCGCCTGCCTCGGGCCAGGTACCGGGGTGCTGGGAAGGGCGACCGGGGGCCGCGGGGCAATCGGGGACGCTCTCGGCAGGTGCTAGCGGGACCGTGAAGAGGCCGCTCCTGTGGCTCGCCGGGGCTCCCGCTCTCTCTTCGCGCGCCTCCCCGGGAAACTGAGGGCCCTCGAGCCGGGGGTCCTCTCTCCCTGGGCCCCACAGATGGACGCCGGGACAGAAGCCCAGGTCTGCGGCCAGCCCGTTCGGAGTCCTCCGCCAGGCTGCAGCCCAGAACTTGCGCGAGCCACCTGGCCCGCCCCGTCGGTGCTCCCTTTGCCCCGGCGCCCCCAGACCCCGGCCGGGCCGCGCCTCCTCCTCTCTTTGTCTCCGGCCTCTCACCTCCATCCTCTGAATCCCTGGGTCCTCGAACTCGGTCTCCCCACGGCCGCCACCCCCCAGCCCCGCTCTGCCTCTGTTGGGACCGGGCTCGCACCGCCTTTTGCATTCCGAGGCGCAGCCTCGCGTCCTCGCGGGCGGGCAGGCCACCTCCGGGGAGCCCGAGTGAGGGGTCGTCCCGCCCGGCGTGATGTTCCCGGCCCCTGCCCCCGCCCCCCATAGGTTGCCCCACTTCTCGGGGCCCTGCGCCTGGGCTGCCCTGCGGATGGGACCGTGCGTGGGGCCGCAGAGGGGCCGCCTGCAGGCTGCGTAGAGCGAGGGGACTGTTTGGGGGAAGAGGGGCTGCTTGGCTGGGGGAGGGGCGGGAGCCGGGGCTGGCAGCCAGGCCGGGGGTTTTGTGTGTGAGAAGAATAGGGGTTTGGCCCGCGTTGGCACACTCGCTTCCCTGAATGCTAATGGGGCCCGCGGCCACTGGCTCCTCTCCTCTCCGCGGGGCCCGCAGCCCCTCCTCCGATCCTGGGCGGCGTGGGGTGGGCCCGTCAGCTCAGCTTGCTGCGGCAGCGGGCTCGAGGTCGTCCGTGCCCCGCCGGCTGGCAAGGGTGCCCCGCAGCCCAGCATCTTGCTCTCCCCATGTCACCAGATCGACAGCTTGAGATCCGGAGACAGCCGTGTCAGCAGCAAGGCTGTGTGTGTCTGTGTGTGGAGGGTTCTGCTGGCCCAAGTTCTGCCAGGCCAATTCCCACACAGCCTCTGTGACGTCTGTCCCTCCTGGGGGTCCTTTCTGAGTTGCTCAGCCTGTGCAGGGCGCCTTCCGGTGCTCTTCACACCTATGGTGCCCCTGTTTGTCTCTGGCGTCACACCCTGTGAGAGTAGGCAGTTTATTGTCTTCCGCGGGGCTCCTTGAGGAAGTTCCCCCAAGATTACAGCGACAGTGAGTGTGAGCAAATACACGCCCGTGTGCTGGCATGTGGCTGTGGGCGCGCGTGTGTGTGACCCAAGTGTATTAAGAGTCTTGGAGGTTCCTGTGTGCCTGTGCATTTGAGAAGGCCCCGACTTGGGACCACGGACTGAGTTGTGTCCTTGGGGTCACAAGCTAGGTGGCTGTGCTGACCCAACGCTTGGTGACCGTGGCCCATGCTGTTGGTGTGTGCCCGTTCGTGGATGGGCTGGGGAGAGTGTCAAGAGGAAGCGGCAGGTCGGGACAGCCGCGTGGGCCCAGGAGGTGAGGAGCTGAGGACGAAGGCCCAGTTCCGCCACCACGACACGCACAGTGTGGGCCAGGCCCTCACCAAAGGTCCTGGACGCATTCTCTTTCCCATGTCCATTTCAGTCTTCATGGAGACCCCAGCTTTCAGAGCAAATCATTTCCCATTTGGTGGTGGGGGGCAGAGGTGTAATAAATTGTCCCTGGAGGGGGCTAAGAAGGCGCATTCCCCACCCCCACCCTGCCCACCAGCTGCAGCCAGGAGACAGCTCCACTGGCCTCCTGGAAGCTGGGCCAGCCTCGCCTGCTCGCCTGCTTCCCTGGAAACCGTTGCTGGGTTTGGAGCCTCCCAGCCCAGACCCCTCCTAACACCTCTGCCCCAGAGCAGCTTTCTCTAGGACCAGGCCCCACACCCCCTCCTTCAAATATCCCTCCCAAGCGTCATCACTTCGTTTTTCTAAGTCTGGGAGGATGCAGGCTGTGAGAGTGACGAGCCAAGAAGCCGCTTTCTGAGGTGGGGCTGTGGGTACGAGACTTACTCCTGTTCGGGGATGAGGCCCCCTGGATGCCCAGGCTGCCTGTGGCAGTGGGTGCAGAGGAGCAGCCCCGGGGCCAGGGCCCCCCTCCTCTACGCCCCGTTGCTCTCCCGGCCCCTGGAGCCCTCACAGCCAGGACCCACACCTGCAGCCCCTTCTCTGCGGTCCCCATTCGCCCAGCAGGACCCTCCTGGCCTGGCCCAGGCAGTGACTGGGGCTAAGAATTCTGCTGGTGTGAGCCTGGGTGGTGCTGAGGCCCAGCTCAAGGGTCTCCTGCTCAGTAAAGTCTCTTTCACCCCCACACCCCCAGCCAGAGTTTGCCGTGCTCAGTGAGAGCTTAGTGCCTCAAACTTGCTCTGTATTCTCAGTTTATATCTCTTCCCACCGCCCCAGGGACCTCAGGGTTCCTGGAGGTCAGGGGCTGGGCTCACCCCCTGGGAGCCCCTGCCCCCAGCATAGGGCCTGGGACAGCAGGCACCCGGACTGAATGATGATGAAGGATGGCAGCCCAGTGGCGGGCCGGGCTGCCATCAGGGGCCAGAGCTCCAGGAGGTAGGGCCTGACTTAGCTGCCCCGAGGCCACAGCCAGCAGCCTGCCTGTCCCTTGAGCATGTCTGGCCTTGAGCAGGGCAGGGATCCTGGATCCTGGGGAGCTTCCCTGGACAGGGTCTTGCTGAGAAGGCATAGAGGTCACCCAGCCTGTTCTTTCTGCCCGCCTGATGTTTTTCCTCCCCTCAGCTTCTGTCCTCCCTTTCCCTTCCCAGGGGAGTATGCGGAGGGCGTCAGTGAGCGAGACATCCTGCTCATTCACTCCTGCCGGCAGTGGACCACAGTGACAGCCCACACCCTGGAGGAGGGCCACTATGTCATCGGACCCAAGATTGACATCCCCCTGCAGTACCCAGGTGTGCCCACCCAGGGACAGATGGCATAAAGCTGATGGGGGGAGGATGGGCAAGACAGGCAGGGCTGGGGGTGGGGGGAGGGTTGGTGACCTGCTTCCCTGGAGCTAGAGCAGGGGGCAGGGTGGTGGCTCGGCTGAGTGAGGGCAGGTGGTTTGCCTGTGCCGTGGAGCCCTGGGCTCCTGGAGAGGTGGCTTCCAGGTTTGCAAGCTTCAATTCACATTTTATGTCAACTAGACTTTAAACTAATGATTAAAAAATATACCTTTAAAAATATATATATACCTTTAAGTAACTACCCACCAAAGCTTAGCCCTAACTGGATAGCTTCAGGGTGTCACCTTGAGCTGCCTCTTCACTTTTTTTTGAACGCACCCTCCAGGAGAACAGCTCCTGCCAGCATCTTCTCAGCCTTGTGCCACCCAAACACTTCAGAAACAAAGAGAGGCTCAGGCTGATTATCTGGCTGCATCAACTCCGATCCTGCGTGTCCCATTTTGTGTGTGAGAAGCTTATTGTTTTCATTGATTGACTTTATAGCTGAATATTAACATTTTTGAGTTTAAGAAGAGTGTGCTCATGAACTTCAACTTTGATCAGTTATATGCATGATGTTAATTTCCTACAAAAGTTGTGTCTGAGGAAAAGATTCTGCTTCTAAACACACAAAGGATAGCTCTTTCATTTTACACCTGATGAAGCAGGGTCAGAGACAAAAGTGACTCACCCAGGGTCACAGCTAGAAAGTCCAGAGGAAGGGCCAGACCCAGGTATCCTGACCTGCCTGGGTACTCAGCCTGGCACCAGGAATGCAGGATTACCGCACTCTGAGGGGGGTGGGGCATCAGACTCCCCACCTGTGCCCAGGACCCTCAGCCCTTGGGTAGTAATCCCTGGGGCCTTCCAGACACTGGGCCAAGAATTTCCTGCATTTCATTCGCACAGTAACACTGAGAGTCTGATCAACTTCATTGAACACACTTTGCAGAAACAGAGGCTCAGGACCGCAGTGCTTCTGTTTTTCACAACCCCCACACCCCCATTGACCCCAAAGGTTGGGAACCCCCTGGGCTGGAAAGACTGGCAGTGCTGTCCTCGCAGGTACCACCGTCCCCCTGGCCCTGCTGGGCCTCCTGAGCCAGTGAGTGAGGACTGCGCCTGGACACAGCCTCTGTCTGCTCCTTAGAACAACCCCTTGGAGCAGGAACATCCTCGTAGCTCTCAGACCCCTTAAAACAAGGAGGAGACTATCTTAATGGCCGCTCGGACTGGGGTTCTGTGCCCGCCTTGGGGCTCTGAACAAGAATGATCGAAGCTAGAAATTTCCCACCTTGGCACCTGGCACTGGCCAAGGGGGAGGTCTCAGGTCATCTTGGGATAAAAAGTGAGGGTTGGAAAAATCCCTCACTGACAGAAATGCCAGCTGGGGCTGCCCCCACTTCAGCGTCCCACCCACCACCAAGGCACAGAGCCCGGTGGGGACCTGTGGGTTCAGGGGCCCCCAGCCCTTTCTGCCACTTCTTTTGGTGGCTCCCTGCCACTGTATCTACAGTGTCATTTCGGGGTGACAGCTGGCGGGCAGCGGCCCGCAGCCCCTCTCCTTTCCGGTGGGCTTGGGGGAGGGGAGGCCGAGGCCCCCAGGGGCGGGGGAGGCCTGGCTGGGGCGAGTTAACGTTCAGAGTGGCTCGGAGTGGCGTGGCGCAGATTCCTCCTAATGAATTAACAATGACGCGAGAGCCACGGTGGAGGGGGAGGGGAGGACGGCGGCGCCCAGTGGGGTTGGGGGCACGGCGGGTCAGCGGACTCGCTCAGACACCCCCCCCCCCGCCCCCCGCCATATCCAACCCTCTCACCCCCCACGACGGCAGCGGGGCACCGGGTGCCCGGAGCTGAGCACACTGCCATTCTGCGGGCGGGAAGACTGAAGCCCACGGCTTCACTTGCCCAAGGGCACCCAGCAGTTTGGTGGCAGAACTGGGGTTCAGCCAGCTCCGACCTTCTCTAAAGCTGTGCGTTTACCCATCATCCTTGATGGGGCGTCTGCGCAGGGAGCAGCGCGGGCAGGGGGGTGACAAGATGCTTCCCCTGGAAACTGCCCACCTGGCGAAGGGGCAGCGTGAATGTGCCCGGCAGGAAAGGATGGGGAGTGGGGCAGGCCAAGGTAGAGCAGGCCCCTAAAATGCTGGGGACCTCGCTGAGGGGTGCAGGACAGGAAGCTGCCCAGGGGCTGCAGCAGGAGGAAAAGGCTTGCAGGGGCCGCGCGTCCTCCCGGGAGACCCCCCTTCCTTCCTCCGGCTGTAATGACCGGGGCGGGCTGCAGGCTGCGGGGAGGGGGTGGTGCTGGCTACCATGGTTACATCGATCTCCCCAGCCACATCCTCCCCCTGCTCCTGCCCCGACTTGGCTCTGGCTCTCCCCACCGGGGGCAGCGGCATTTCTCCCTGCCTGGACGTTTGTGGTGGGTGTTTGTGTGGTGGGCAGGGGGCTGGGGATACTCTGTGTTGGATGGTGGGAGACTCGGACCCTCGCCCCTGCTCAGGACCGGCCCCCAGATTTATCCCTCTGCCCCTGGGGCTGTGGCACCTCTTAGGCCCCTTCCTGAGAGGGCCTCAGGAGGAGGGGGTTCCTCCAGCTTTCTCCCTGCATCTTCTCTTTCAAGCTTCTCCTTTCTCTTCCTGCGTCTAGCTGTTGCTGTGGCAGGCTGTGCCCTCGGCTTCTGCTTTTCATACTCTGCACTAAGGGGTCCTTTATTTTTTAAAGATTTATTTATTTATGCATACAGAACTGGGGTACAAGTCAGAGGTTCAGGGGCAGTGAGAGGATTCACCAGAGACAGAGCAGAGAGCAGAACAGGCAGATGGATGAAGTCCACTGCTGAGGGGAGCAGCGGGCGGGTCAGGAGAGTCTGCTGGCTTTGTGGGTCACCTCGGGGGCGGGGGATCAAACTCACACTGAAACAGCTGTGGTGAGCTTGCAGTGCTGCGACCCAACCCATTGCGCCACCAGGGAGGGCCCCCTTTATTTATTTTTAAAGATTTATTTATTTGTGCATACACAAACTGAGGTGTAGGCCAGAGATGCAGGGGGTGAGAGGATTCACCAGAGACAGAGTGGGGAGCAGACAGGCAGATCAAATGAAATACACTGCTGGGTGGAGACAGGAGAGGTCTGTTGCGCCATGTGGGTCAGCTCCCTGGCGGGGGATTGAGCTCATGCTGCAGTGGCTGCTGCTGGCTTGATTGCACAAGGGGTCTTAATCTGGGTTTCTGACTGGCCTCGGTAGCGCCAGGATCCCTCAAGCTGGATCAAAGTGGTGTGTGTGTTCACACCAGGCTCAGCCCCAGGCATATTTCTGGGAGGAGCGGCCCTGAGTGTTAGGATCTCTGCTCTGCCCCACCCCTGGGCTGGCTTCCCTGCCCCACAGTTGAAGCCTCCTGTGGCCCCCTGACCTCCAGCCTGTACTTCTGACCAGGGGTGCAGGCCCTGCTGTGGTAGTGACCCACACGCTCACTACCCTGGGGCACCCCCTAGAGGCCCGCCTGCCCCTCCTCATGTTCCCACTCGGGGTTAACAGCTCTGCCTCCCTGTTCTAGGCTGGTGGCCCAGCTCAGGGTCCTGGGCCCCTTCCTCCTCTGCTGCCCCTCACCTGCCACCCACTGTGCTGAGGTCCCTTGACGTATCTTCTGATCTGCTTGTTTCTTGCCCTTCTCTCTGCTTCTGCCCCTGCGCGTCTCTAGAATCCAGTACTGGTCATTTCCCTGAATGGTCTCCCAGTTATCTTTGTAAAGTTTCAACTTTGAGCTCTGTGTTTCCTTGCTCAAAACACAGCAGTGGGTCTCATTTCTTACAGAATAAAGTCTTACTGTCTTAGCCAGGCATTCAGAACCTCTCACACCCAGTTGCTGTCTTCACCTCATGTCACCTCCCTCCTGGAGTCCTGCCCGCCAGCCTCTCTCCATCTTAGGCCACAGTCTGCTTTCCTGTGGCTGTGTGGACTGTCTCCCATGTGGACTGTCGGTTCTCTAAATCTCTTTTCATTCTTAAGGTGCAGCTTGGTGACCCCCTCAGATGCTGCCAGGCAGGCTTACCCCGACATGGAAGTCTTCCAGCTCTTTTCAGGAGCCTGTTGCAACATGCCACCCCCAGCCATCACTGGGGGCTCCCGGGCAGCCACACCTTGTATGTGGTTTCCTTGAGAGCAGACTGTATTTTATCCAGATTGGCACCTGCTGTCAGGCCTAGCAGTGTCTGGCACACAGTGGGTGTTTTGTAAATGTCTGTGGAGTGAATCAGTGACGGAAGCCATGACCAGGAAGGTTGCAGAAGCCAGGGCACCTTGTCTTTTCTCGGCCTGCTGCCTCCTTCTGTACAAGACTCTTCTTTCTGAATAAGGCCTGAGAAGAGGCTGTCCATAGTGCCAGGGCAGTTGGCAGCTGGTGTTTGAGCTCATGTAGCTGGGCACATAAAATGTGTGCAGCCGGTGAGGGGGGACATGGTTTAAAAGGGTGTCAGCTTCATGAATTAGCATCATCCCTTAAAATCTGTCTCATGGCAGTATCTGCTGGACCGGCTGAGACAGCCCTGCTTGTAGGTTAGGGAGGCCTCACCAAGGGAGGCAGCTTTGCTGGGCGTGGAATAGAGGCCTCTGGACAGGGCAGCTGGATATTGGTCTGGGGCAGGGTCCTGGGGCAGAGCTAGGGTCTGAGTGGCTCTCCTGAGGCCTCCAAGTCCTGGGTTGGGCCCCTGGCCTGCTCAGTACATTGGTATTGCTAAGTAATCCAAGGAGCCAGACCTAGGCAGGGCCCAAGATCACCTGCTCCTAAACCCTCAGGTGAGGACTCACATGGAAATGGACTTACACACAGGTGCAGTAAATCGGTGGGGCAGGGACCACGCCAGGAGCCAGCATCCTCAATGCCACACACTGACGCTGGATCAGAGACAGATGTGTTCAAGTGTCTTGCACTTGGGTTTCTCTGGGCAGGCAGCTCCTGGCCTCACTGTGCACCCACAAGCTCTTCACAGGTGTGGGCTGGGCTCTAGTTGCTAAGATTCTGCACTCACCCCCCACAGAGGCTGGAGCCAGATGACCAGCCCCTCCCATCCCGTGCTGATTAAAATCTGCTCTTCTGTCCACCTGGTTTCTGAGGGCCTGGCTGAACGGAGGGTAGCAAGAAGTAGAGACCGGGCAGGCCGGGCCCTCGGGGTCTCTGCACAGCCTGTGCTTCCTCCTGTGCAGGGAAGTTCAAGCTCCTAGAGCAGGCCCGGGATGTGCGGGAGCCGGTGAGGTACTTCAGCAGCGTGGAGGAGGTGGCCAGTGTGTTCCCTGACCGAATCTTTGTGATGGAAGCCATCACCTTCAGTGTCAAGGTCAGTCCTTCCTGTTCCAGGCGTGGTGCTCCCACCTTCCCCTGCCTTCCGGGTGACCTGGCCCCTGGTCGGAGGGGTGCCACTAGGGCCCAGGAGACAAGGTGTCAGAGTGTGCCACCGGCTGTCCCTACAGGGCTTTGGCACAGTCCGGCCTTGTCACAGAGCGGATGTAGGTGCACCGAATGCAGACTCCCCCTGCACAAGGTGGTGGGGCAGGAGGGCGTGCGTGGCGGCTGGGGCCCTCTCAGGGCTGCCAGCCCTGGCACCTGTCAGGCGCTGCGGTGGCTGTGGGGAGTAACCCCTTCGGCATAGGTCAGCCCCTGTCTCTCACAGCAGCCTTGTTGAAGGGATAGGGCATGTCCAAGTTGTAAGAATAACAGTAAAAGCCACTTCCTGACTAATTTCAAACTGAGTCACTGTATATAGTCTCTTTAATGCTTATAGCAACTGTCCCAAGTAAATTACTCCTCGAGGTAATTAAGGCCCTGGAGGTAACTCACCTAGGCCAGGGCACTGAGGGTCTCTCCCGACTCCTCACACCCCTCTATCCTGCGCTCTCCAGCTGGGCTCAGTCCTGGTCCCAGAGGGCCTGGCATGGCTGGCTTGCCCGAGGGCCCTGGCTAAAGGCCTCCCCTGTTTCTGGGGCCCCCAGGTGGTGTCGGGTGAGTTCAGCGAGGACAGCGAGGTGTACAACTTCACGCTGCACGCGGGCGATGAGCTCACGCTCATGGGCCAGGCCGAGATCCTGTGCGCCAAGACCACCAAGGAGCGCTCGCGATTCACCACCCTGCTGCGCAAGCTGGGCCGGGCCGGGGCGCTGGCAGGGGTGGGTAGCGGCGGCACCCCAGGGGCCCCGGGGGGTGGGGCCGGCGGCGGCGGCGGAGGGGGCGCCAGGCCCCTCAAAGGCAAGATGCCCTGCCTCATCTGCATGAACCACCGCACCAACGAGAGCCTGAGCCTGCCCTTCCAGTGCCAGGGCCGTTTCAGCACGCGCAGCCCGCTGGAGCTGCAGATGCAGGAGGGCGAGCACACGGTGCGCGCCATCATCGAGCGCGTGCGGCTCCCGGTGAACGTGCTGGTGCCCAGCCGGCCGCCGCGCAACCCCTACGACCTGCACCCGGTGCGGGAGGGCCACTGCTACAAGCTGGTCAGCATCATCTCCAAGACCGTGGTGCTGGGGCTGGCGCTGCGCCGCGAGGGCCCCGCGCCGCTGCACTTCCTGCTGCTCACCGACACGCCGCGCTTCGCGCTGCCGCAGGG